GCGCCGGCTTAGGGCCTAGGCTGCTGCCCGGGGCCTCGCGGGCAGCCCTGGAGAGCCTCAGCTGTGCCCTGGGCCTCGGAGTCTCTCGAGGGTCCGCCAGGGATTCCATTGCCCGCTGCGCTGGCCGCCCGGCCCCCGACCCCACCGCAGCCCTGGCTGGGCTCAGCCGCCGCCCAGAGCTCTAGCTCCCGGTGTTACAAGCTCGCTGACTCTGCCAGTGTTTACCTTCACCGGGCCTCCGTTTTATTATCTGAATAGGGAGGCTGTAATTAGGGCTCAGTGAGTACTGTGAGGTGTGATCGAAAACTACAACGAGTGTTGAAATTTTTAAAAACGAATTGGAGTAAAAGGCACATTGCCGGGGATCCCCCTTCGAACCCTCCCCTCCTGGGAGCACACTCACCCATCGTCCTCGCCACTCCCTGAAGCAGCTCTGGAGTCCTCTTTCGGAGTGTCTTTAGTTTTGATGTCAGGGCCATGCTGGTGTGCTGAATGCATTCCACACGTTTCCCTTTCGTGGTTATTCTGACTGTGGGGAGGAGCCAGCAGTCACACAGAGCCAGGTCCGGCCCGTAAGGCGATGAGGACACAGCGTCGTGTTTCTCCCGAGGCTGCCTTTCCGTTGGAGGGCGCTTAATAGCAGCATTCACCGTCTTGTCAGTCCCATCTCATAAAGACAGTCACGAAAGAGGATTCCAGAGCGGCTGCAGAAGGTGGCACGGAGGATGGGATGAGTGTGTTTGCAGTGCGGCGGGGAGGTTCACGGCGGTGCATCTTTTACTCTGTATTTAAACATTCACGGCATGCTTTGATCAGTGTGTAGATGTCAGTTGCTGCTACCCTTGAGACTGCTGCCGGGGTCTGAAAACCACGCTGCCTCACAGCCAAAGACAGAGCAGTGAGAGCCGGCTCCCCGGTGTTCCCGCTGCACCGGCGACGCTGGCTGACGTCCCCGAGACCTTGTGGAGGTGCAGCGTCCTGGCCCTGCCAGACCTGTGGGTCAGTCTGCGCGTTCGCGAGATGCCAGCACCCGGTTCCAGATCCCCTGCCGCTGACCTGGGCAGAGGGCGGGATTGCCTCGAGGGCCTCACAGACGCGGGCTGCCTGGCACTTCCTGCTGCTCCTGCAGACAGGCGTCCTCCCGTGGCCCCGGGGGCAGCTGGGCTGCATTTTCTCCTGTGTTCGCCCTGGGCCGAGGATGTGTGTGCTGTGCGGAGCGTGAGGCATTTTCGGTGATGCGATGTGTGACGGGATCTTCACCCTGTAAGCGTGGCCCAGCGCTCCGGGTCACCGTGTCCCCCAGCTGGGCCTGGCTCACTGCCATTCAGTGGGTGAAGACGGTGTGCCGGCACTCCCCTCATTTCCATTCCTCACCGAGAACCCCAGGAAGCAGGACTATAACCCCATCTCACAGATTGGGAGACCGAGACCCAAAGGGCGTCTTCCTGCCTTTGTCACCGAGCGCTCCACACCACGGCAGCTGCTGCAGGACAGCGTGCCCAGCCTGCTGCAGAGCAGGTGCCTTCTGCTGCTTTTTCAGAGAAGGAAAAACTGCCAGCTCCAAGAGGAGGCTGGGCCTGTTACTTTAACGAGAGGCTGAGACTGGCTGGGCCGAGCGCCTCTTAAACAGGTAGAGCTCACAGGGCCCGAGCCGCACCGGCAGCCGCATGCGGTTTATGCATTAACTAGCGGGTGGCCCTCTTTAAAAGCACCCCGTGTCATAAGGCACACGGTGCTGTCTAGACGCAGGAACATTTATGGAGGCGCGGCACTGGGTCGTGCAGATGCCTGAGCCCAGGTCCTGGCCTCGCTCTCTGACATGCGCCCGCGACGTGGGTTTCCAGGCAGGGCGTGTGGTTGCAGATGCTTGGACATCCCCTCCTACCTCCCTCTCCTCTCCTCTGCAGACATGACAGTGGAGGAAGCCTGGCGGGGTGGAGTCCCGCTGGCCTGCTGTTTGCAGCCTGGTGCCAGGTGCACATATAGAGAACCTAGAATGAAATGTCAGAGCTGTGGAGGCCGACCCGGGACCCTGTGCAGCTAGCTGCGGGGGCTGCAGTAAGGAGGCGGGCGGGCGACCTGGGCGTGCTGGGCCGTTCCGGCGGCCTCCCCGCCCGCCTGGTCCTGCACTTGGCACCGTGATGATGGCGACGTTCGGCATCTTGTCTCAGATGAGGTTGCCTCGTAAAGATCCAGCGTGGAGACAGGCGTGCTCTCTGCTCCCAGGAGCCTCACTTGCTGGCCCTTAGGCGGCCACATTTGCCCTGAGGCGGGCAGGAAGGAAGGCCTGCTTAGGGCACGTGTGCTCTGGGTCCCGAAGGCTGGCGTTTATCGAACGGTGTCCTCCAGCCAAGACTTGAGCCCAGGATCCTGAGCATTACGCGCTCTGTGCGCAGCTCAGTTGTCCTTCAGCTCCGACGTGGGTGCTCGTTTAGGAGCTGCATGTACGGCTCTCCTCTTCCTTCCCGAAAACTCCTTACAAATGTCCCAACTATTCCTAGCAACCTGGGTCCTAGGGACACAGCCCTAGCGCAGAGCAAGCAGGCAGAGAGGAAAGATAGTTCCAGCTGGCCCGAGATGCCCTGAAGAGGGGAGGGGAGGAGGGCCCATGGGTGGCACGGGGCCGGGCACAGAGGTCTGCAGTGTGAGCCCTCGGTGCGGGTCTGTACCAGGATGACTGCTGTTATGCTTTCGTGGTTTGCCGTTGTGGTTTCTAGCATCTGTGTCCTCCTGACCTCATACCACACCTTTTAAACGGGAGTGGGATGAACCCTCGGGTGTTTCAGTGGCCGACAGATCGTAGGCAGAGGCGAGCATTGGTGGGGGGGCAGCCACAGTGGTCACCACCGTTTGTGGAGGCCTTTGGGTTTCCGCGGCGTGAGTGGCTTTGCCGGGAATGTGGGGTGCTGTCCCTCCGGTGGAAGCGCCGTGTGAGTGGCGCAGTGGGGCTGTTGGCCTCTTGCTGCACTCTTTTGGGGAACGGAGGGTGAGAACCTTCCTTTGCTCCCTTTATTTGGAGAAAGGGTCTCGCTGTGTAGCCCAGGCTGGCCACAAACTCTCTGGTATCCTCCTGTCTCAGCTCCCGAGTGCTGGACTGTGGGCGTCATTCCTGCCTGGAGTGGGCTGCCCGGGGGGGTGAGAGGCTTTGCTTATTGTGATTTGACCGTAGGACCGCCTGGAGGCCAAGTTCGGGGGCTGCATCCTCAGAGGGTCCAGCTGCCCCTGCTCCATCTTCTTGGGCAGGAGGGATGTAGGAGCTGGTCCAGCTGCCCCTGCTCCATCTTCT